GATGCCCCGACTGGAATTGTGTCTGTTAAAAGAGGACCTGGAACCCATGTGGGATCCCAGCAGTAGGCAGAATCTGAAGACTCAGATCCGCGCCGCCTGGTGTTTCCAGCATCATCCTTGTCTGGTGTGGACTGAGCTATTGACGCGGATCTGAAGAACAGATTGTTTCTGAGAATGTAGTACAACATGTAAACGAAAACAAGTTGTGTCTCCTGGGGTAGTGGTGTTAAGGGGAAGGCTGTCCTAAAGGAATTCTGCAGAGTCTTGTGGACGCCACCCCCTACTCTGGCTTTCTGGACCCTACACCCTACTCCAGTGATTGGAAACTACGACTCCCAGCAGCACCAGGGAGAGAACTGCAGGACCCCAGGGCGGAGCTAGCAGGAATTCTGGGATATTTGGGGGATAAATAGGGCACCCTCTCGCTCTGGCGCTCGCTCTCTCTTCGTCTCTCGCTGGGTCACTTGGGAAGCAGCTCTCTGGACCGGTGACTTGGTGTGATCATTCAGCCTAGCTGTAACGTATTGCAATTACTTTGGTTTTGTATCCCGCTCTCTTTCCCATGTTGTTTCCTATTTCTTTGCAGTTGTGAGCGCGGTGAGGCCCCACAGACAGGCAGCCCAGTCCACTCTGGGCTACCCTGTAACAGTGGGAGGGCGCTGAATGATACATAAACCAGAGCTCTCCAGTATCTCTCAGGTTTCAAACAGAAACCACATTCTAGTTTGCCTATTTCTAAACTCGACTTGGTATTTAGATTCAAGGAGCCCAGCACCGCTGTTGAGGCGCTCGCCTTGCTGGCTCGGGCGTAAGTCCGTGTGGTCGCACAGCCGGTCACCCTCACGTGTCGTAACACCCATGAGTCGTTTCATCGCTCTTCTAGAGCTACACTAGAAAAAGGCCCCCAGCATCTATTAAGACTTTCAATTTATATTATACGTACAACATGTCTCCCCCATCCATAAAACATTAATCACAATGCTTTTTAATAAATAATGCTCTTCAAGTCTTAGGAAAGTTTTATAAGACCATCTACCTTCTTTTACAAAGAAATCACTGTTGAAAGCTAACTTAAAAGAAGGTCTAGATGTTTTAAAAATTCACCTTAGATGTTCTCATGATGTGTAATGTTTTTTCTCACATGGTAATTGTGAATGTCAGAAAACGTAACTTCTAATTAAACATTTCAGAATTTCTAAGAATTCTATAAATATGCTAATGCTCATTACAAGATCATTGCTTATAACTGCACTGGACATATAGGTTGGTGCTTCCTCTACGTCTGTTGCTGATGGAGTGAAGTTGCATTACTGAGTAAACTGGAGAAGGTCATGCACTCGGTCTTGCCAGTGAGTGGAAAGGTTTAGGGCCCAGAAGTAGACCCAATCCTGAGGAAAAGTGAGCACTGAGGTGTTTCTTCTGTGTTCTTTATGATGTCAGCGTCGGTTTACGTCACTGCTTGCATCACGGAGTGTAGGCCCACGCAGGGTCCTGCCGCGGAAGCCACCGCCTGGAGCCTCGGTCGCCATCTTTGTTCTCACCCCGCCCCTCCCCCCTGTCGCCCCATTGCCCCACATCACGGTCGGCTTTCCAGGGCTAGTTTGTATGTGCTTTAACTGACCTGTGGTTTTGTTCTGTTTTCTGCATCATGTGACATTTCGATATTTGTTTTTCTCCTCCTGACTAATTTTCCTTAGCATAATCCCCTGCAGTCCCACCCCTGTTGCTGAGAGTCGCAGATGTTTATCTTGTGTGATAGCTAAGTAATCGTCCACTGCATAAACACCCCATCTGCTTAGTCCACTCATCCGTGGGGGCGAGGTTAGGTTATTTCTCTGTCTGGGCAGTTGCAATCAGTGCTGTGATGAACGAGGGTTTAAGTTTCCTTTTGAATCGGGGTGTGTGTGTGTGTTTGGGGGGAGATGCCTAGCCGGGGATTGCAGGCACACAGGGATACTCCTCCTAATCTTTGGAGAACCCTCCAGCGGTTCCCACAGGGCTGCATCAGCCTGCACCCCAACACTCCTTTGCTGTGCATTCTCGCCAGCATTTCTTACTTCGGTCTTCGCGATGTGGCTGATTCTCACAAGGGTAAGATGGTATCAGCAGAGGTGTGGGAAGGATTGCTATCTAAAAAGCAGGTCCAAGGAATGGATCCGAAGCTAGATTTCACTAGAGAACCGAGCCACAGGAGCCTCCAGAGAGGTGATGCTCTGGACATCTCGGCAGGAAGAAATATGCATATGGGCATTTTATCAGCAAGTGTCAGCACCTTTGAAACCAGCTAGAGAAAAACAGACTTCAGCTTGAGGCTCGTAGATAACCCTGCAGGGATAGTCAGTGATTCTTGTAAACAGAATGGCACTCCAGCGACTCAGTCATCCCTCCTGAGAGAAAGGCAGATGGGGCCCAGAATGGCTTCCTCGGAGAGCCTGGCACTCCTGCCCAGGTATGGTCATGGAAGTCGAGTGCCCACACCTGGCTAATTTCAGCAGCCCGCTTTGGGTACGTTGCCCCAGTCTAATGACTGAGGAGGGGTGGCATCTCCCGCAGAAGTATCCAGAAGTGTGTGGGCACTGCTGGTCGTCTTGCTGACTCAAGGATGCCACTGCAATTTGGAGCAAGGGGATCAGGAATGCTAAATGACTTAATTACACATGCATGAGGCTCTTCAGTGTCCTGCCAAGCATTCAGGAGTGAAAGTTCTTTCTCTCATATTCTGAGACAAGATCTAACTGTGATCTATACTACACATGAGATATCTGTTAAATATAATGAGTACTTTGATGTAAACATTGTATAAAAATTTAAAAAATGTAGTTTTTTGAGAACTTTACCAAGAATTGTCAGCCATTAAAAAAAAAAAAAACAAGCTAACACCGATGTCACTCACAGTTTGAGTCACCAAAACCACATGGATAGCAATTTGCATTTGGAATGACTGTATAAGTCTTAGGAACAGAAACAGCATTTCCATGAGTTGGGAATGTGTTCGATTACAATGGAACCAGAGAATTTACATATTGAATTAAGTAATATTTGTTTGAAAAAGTGCTTCCTTTTTATATGCCCATTCCTTAATTAAAATTTTACATTTTTGTAGCTGAGACCATTCATGCATTTAAGGGTTGTAAAAGGGGATATTAAAATACGTGCTTTAAGGAGTTTGAGAACTGCTAGCCTACACAGGAGCAGGGCTCTTCTCCCTCACCTCTGGGTGGCTTTTCTGGGCTTGCTGAGAAAGAATGTGGTTGTTTCAAGGACTCAGCGATGACAAAAGGGAAAAGGAGAAAGAGAGACATGTGAACGTGCCTCCACCCCGCACAAGGACCCACACATGTACATTTCACGTCACCTGCACGAACCCAGCTCGGTTTGCTCCACGGCCCAAATTGTCTGACTGGAAGATCTGGGTGACACCCCCCCACCACCACCAGCACTTCCTCTTCTCTTGTATAAACCTAAGAGAAAGTTCTCCAGACAGAAATTACCTATCTCTCATGTCTACCTGCACGTTTTACTTAATTGTGTGAAGACAAGTTTCTTGCATAGGAGCAGACCCCTGGAGCATGTCAGGTTCCCTCAGAGACTGTGTCCTCTGTCCAGATGACTGAACCAGACCTTGCTATTCTGTTGTCCGACTGGGGCAGGATCAACGCCTCCGTAACCCACAGTTGGTTCAAATGCCGAAATTCATGACATCCAAAAGGGCACACAGAATGCTTCTTCGCCTTACGAGGCAGGGTAGGTCTGACAGTGGCTTGAACACGCAGCGGGGTGAATGAGTAGCTCTCATCTTTCACGTGGTTGGGAAGGAGGCTGGGTGTGACAGGATTTGTGGGGTGTGAAATTGTTACCAGATTAAGGGGAAAGGTGTTTATTAACTATTCACCTAATTTAACAGCTTCCCTTGAGATGAGCAAAGGGAAGAAATGAGTGGTGAGTATGGGAAGCCATTAGCAGGCAAAGATCAAAGACTTGATATGTGACTGTCTAGCGACAATCACCCATGCGGGTTGTCAGCTGAATACCGCAGCATATAACATAAATGCCTCCAGCAGCTCTGGCTCTTCTAAGGGCTAAAAATAACAGAGTGAAGACAGAATGGAGACAGAATGAGAGGACAGGATGGTGCTCAAGGATTAAGCAGAAAACCGACTATGAAAGCTGAAACACTCTACAGGTGTTCCTTTTTCCAGAAGTTCGCTTTTCACACGCCTTTGCAAAGGACCTGTGTGACTCCCTGTTTTTGCCAAGTTTAAGAAATAGAATAAGGAATTTTACGCATACACAAAAGGTTAAAAGAGAAAATTACATTTAGCACTGGCTTTGGGGCAGTCTTTCTAGTGTCAGCAAGGAAACTGAAGCCAGGCCTGCAGCAATAGTTCACCCAGGATAACAAATCAAGCACTCACAGCTCGACTCACCCTTCACCCAGCGTGTGTTCCCGCGGGCGTGTGATTGTGCCACTAGGTATTGTCGGGCAGCTGACCCACCCCTGTGGCAGAACTTAGCGCGCATGCGCAGCCTCCCCTGGGCACCTGCAGCCCAACCCCCAGCTCAGCAAGCGGAAACCCCGATATGAGCTTTGCTCAGCCCCTCGGGCCTCAGCGCTGGGTCTAACACTGGTGTAGATTCTTTAACCACTCGAAGGGCTTTATACACTTTAAGTTTCTTGAAGAAAGTCATCATGTAGTGTTCTATTCCATAGCTCTGCTTCAGATGAATGCATAGATCTATTATTTTTAAATGTAGAATACGAATGATTAAGATGTTTGTTTCTCCGTTACATATATTGTTTTTAAAGCAGTCAATAAATAACAAAACAAGAATTCTCAGTGTATCTGCAGTGAATGAAAGCAATATAAATTGTTAGCTAAATCTTTCTTGTAGTCGTAAGTAAATGTATCAACGACAAGAAAAGAGCAAGAATATTATAGAGAGAAAAGGTTTTGGGATTCCAGGAAATGTTAAAGTGTGCTCCTTTTCGGTCCTTACAGAAAGTGTGGAGTATGGGCCGATATTTGTGCAAGAACCAGACGATATAATTTTTCCAACTGATTCTGATGAAAAGAAAGTAGCGCTGAGTTGTGAAGTTCGTGGCAATCCAGCTCCCAATTACAGGTAGAAAATCACAATGAATCATTTTTTCGTCTCTTAAAAACACCTTGCAGTGAGGTTCTGGTACCCCCAGGGAGGATTCACACGTCTGAAGTAATGTTTACATGTCCGTCTTCTGATTTTCCTAAGATGGCTGCGCAATGGAACAGAAATAGATTTGGAAAGTGATTATCGCTACAGCTTGATAGACGGGAACTTCATCATCATCAATCCGAGCGAAGCCAAGGATGCCGGCCGCTATCAGTGCGTGGCCGCCAGCGGCCTGGGGAGCATTGTCAGCAGAGAAGCTGTTCTGCAGTTTGCCTGTGAGTAACTCGCTTTCCCACGCGCACGTGGACAGGGCTGCATGTGGGTCACTGACATTAGCGAAAGCTCAAGCCCGCAAGTTTAAAACAGTGGTGAGGCCCCGGGCGGGCTCTGCCTTTGCTCCGGGAGACTGAAGCTCCCCTGCCAACTTTGCCCTCATGGAATGACTGCTCTTGCCTGAGGGGCTAATAATCTTCATGAAATCAGATACAGTTTAAGGGGTTAAGTATTTTTGTAATGTGTTTTTGAAAAGATTTCCAGCGATATTTCTGATTTTAAATGTATCTGCTCGCCTGCTCTTACACCACCACCCACTCTCATGGTAACTCTTTGCTGTAGACTTCTGGACATGGGATACTATGTTCTAAAAATTCTCCTTATAACCAGGTAAAGGCAGAAATGTCCTTGAAAGGCTAATGTTTCCAAGTCTATCACTTTCCTCCTAGATGTCTCCATTTTTTATTAGAATAAAGGAACCACATGTAATCATACATACCTACTAGAACATATGCATTCATTAAAATAGCACATATATCTAATTCACTAAATATATTGATTTCTTACAACTCTTGAAGTCACTTCAAGTAAGCTCACACCAAATCGGCCATAGGTACTAGGTGAAAATCATGTTATTATTATCTCTAATAAGCAACACTACTTGAATTTAAATTCTTGATTTTTTTTGAATTTTTTAAATGTGTGTCTTTTTTTATTTTTTTACTTAAATTCTTAAGGCTTACAATCTCTAAAACACAGAAAAAGGGCCAAGAATCTTTATGTTAATAATTCATATGTAACTATATTGGTTACATAATTTTTCACAAAATGATTTTTAAGTTAAAATTACACCCTGCAGAATGGGATAATTGATTTTCTCTGTATAACCTTCCTCACATGTTATTTCTAATTAACCCAGAATCAAGACACCCTATTATAAGAGTGTAAAGGAAAAAAAGGAAAGAATAAAGGAATGATAATGGATTCATTTTGGAGAATATTGAACTAGGTCCTAGAAAAATCTAAATCTTACTTTTTAATTAGGTTTGGCGAAGGAGTTCAAAAAGCTACTCACAGATACCAAATATAGCAAGACTGTTGCCTAAGTAAACTTCTTTTATTTTAAATTATGTGGGGTATCACAGAGCCTATAATTTTCTATAATATCTTTAAAAATACCCTAATAAAATATAAGTAATTGTTCCCTGATCGCACCTCCGTCCAGTGGAGCCGTCTTTTCAAGACGAGGCAAATCCTGCGCACATTACACCTGCCTCCCTCCTGCCAGTGGCAAGACGATAGTCGTCAGCTCTTTCCCCCCAGATCAGACACAGAGGACACATAGGCAAGGTTTTCTGCATGTTGTAGAGCAGAAATCCACCTACGGGCAGACTGCCTGCCTGCAGTCCCTGCGAACACCGGCCACCGCTACCAATGCCCAAACCCACGGACATGCCGGCACAGCACACGCAGCTCAGTGGTTAGGCGCGGGCAGCTGGCTCTGCCTGTCCGTCTGTCCGTCTGTCCGTCTGCCTGTGTGCCCCGCCTCTTCAGCAGTAAGTTGTCCTGAGGCTGGTGTACAGCAACATCCCCTTTGTTTTTACTGAGACACTGGGCGGACCTGTGTGGCTCATTGGTGGTGTCATCTGACCCTCCTCGCTCTAGCCCCGGCCAGTGCCCTTGGGAGGCCCGGAAGCAGGCTGACCTTTGCCTGGAGAGGAGGCTTCAGCCTCAAAGTGCTCCCTCACCAAACGCTGCTCTGGTGTATCGGTGGTGTCAAGCAGTCAAGTCCTGTTGGTTTAGTTCTATCACACTTACCCGGGTCCCTGTGGGAGAAGATCCCCGTGTAGACGGTGGACGCAAAGGTGAAGTTTAATCATCTTGATTTCTGGTCCGCCTGAGCAGAAGCCTGAGTTGTCTGGGATCCCAGATCAAGATATTTTGGGAATGAGTGGGAGAAGATGAGGCCGTGAGGACAGAAGAAAAGGGGAGAACTTCGAAAGAAAATAAAGGGCTACAAATATAGAGTGAGATTCAAAAAAACTTGGTGGGAATTTTCCTGTACAGCATGATTTCCTATGTTCAATTCTAATAGCTAATATGGAATGAACTTACTTATTGTTAGCTGAATGTTTAATAACTGGAGGATTTTTGTGGATAGAGAAAAGCTGATTATTTTTTACACACTTTAAAGGCTAAAATCATGAATCTTTTATATCCATCAGTCACTATTTATTTGAAACTTTTAAAATTAATTATGCAACCAGTATTTCAAAATGAATGTATTTTGTAAATTCAGATAATTATGAAGAGCTGATAAATTAAATGAAGTATACAAGTCTATTAAATATTTTACGTCTTAATGATAAATAACTTTACAAATTTGTAACTAAACTGTCTTTATTCCAGGGCATACATTTACGTTTCACATAGTTTAATTTTTTTTTTATTTTAAAGATTTATTTATTTGTGCATACAGACTGGGGTACAGGCCAAAGGTTCAGGGGTGGTGAGAGGCTTCAGCAGAGACAGCGTGGGGAGCAGAACAGACAGATCGACGAAGTACACTGCTGAGGGGAGCAGTGGGCGGTCAGGAGAGGCCTGCCGCACCCTGGGGTCACCCCTGGGGCGGGGAGCAAACTCATGCTGAAGTGGCTTTAGCTTCTCAGTGCTGCGCTTTAACCCGCTGCGCCACCAGCGAGGGCACTAAAATACATTTTCAAAAAATTTCCTTCTATGCATTAGTTGTCTCCTGTGGTTTTCATCTGCTTTATCAGATGAGCTTGTGCTGCTGAGATATCTTGAAAGCAAATCTAGCGAAGGGTGGTGCGACAGGGCCAGGCTGAGCTCCCGAGGGACCACCCACTGCCTTGTTCTGTTCACGTCCCAGGCCCATTTTTCAGACTTAATCTCTTATTTTTTAATATCAGTGATGTCATTTTTGTTGTATCAGTTACATAGGGTCTATAGTTTTTATATTGATTTCTCTTTTTATAATACTAAATCTTTGTTTATAATAATGAGGTACAAAGATTTATTGGCCAGTGATAAGTAAACATCACATGGGCCTCCCTTGATTGTATTCACGGGGAAAAAAAGCACTAATGCCTATTTTATAAACAGATAAATCTTTAGAGAATCAAGATAGCCATGTGCTATCAATCTCCTATTCATTAGAGATAAGAAAATTTAAACATACCCCATTCGATTTGATTTCTGTTTGTATGATATTAAATTATGTTATTATTATTTTACTGTACTTACAGTATATAGTACAATTTTATTATAGTTAATGTTTATGATTCATGTAAGTGCATTCCATTACACTGAGTGTAACAGCACATTGTACAAAACCTGACTTTGAGGCTCATGTGGCACAGTTTTTGGGGACCCAACTTATTTTTGTACATAGACAAATGTCACGATGTGGCTATTGGGACTTCTTCAGTAATAGCTTACTTTTCTCCCAGTAACTGTAAATATACCTTGAGCTAGCTTTTCTCTAAAAAGTCTTGATCTGTCATCCTCTCTAGCTAAGCGTATGATTAATGACTTCACTGATCATAACACATAAATGCTGTGGAGACTGAAATCCAGGGCCTAGAGGCACATAGGATTGTCCCAGTTAAGTTCTGGTGGTGCTGGGTGACTCTGTCGCTAATCAAGTTCAATGACAGAGATTTATATAAACCGTGTTTTTTTTCAATGTCAAGTTCATAGATGTGCCATATATTAATTGAATGCTTAGTTCTGTGGCAGACAGCCATCTAAGTACTTTAAAATGCATGGATTCATTTCCTCCTCATAACCAAATGTAAGTTATGTTTAAAAATGTAGTATTACTAGCTCTCTCCTTCCCTATTCTAACATAAACATGTCTTTTATTTGGTTTATGACCATTCAATTTTTCTAGTTCTCTTTCAAACTATAATTATCATCTTTCAAAAGCTGAACCACATTTTCACAGCCCACTTATTAACCACAATGCTACAGTCAACTTATGAACACCTACATGATATCACAAAAATCAGTACTTGTAACAAAAATAAGTCTAAAGTCATTCTGCATTTATTCTCATTACTCAAATTTAGTTAATGAACCACTAAATTTTCCTTCCAGAATTTAAGAGTGTGAGGAACATGAGGTCTTTAAGATTCTGAGATTTAATTTTGGTGTGTAATTTTTTTTTGTTTCTTTTATTTTTATTTTTTTAAAGATTTATTTATGCATATAGAACTGGGGTACAGGCCAGAGGCCCAGGGGCGGTGAGAGGATTCATCAGAGCGGGGAGCAGAACAGGCCGACTGACGAAGCGCACTGCTGAGGGGAGCAGCGGGCGGGTCAGGAGAGGTCTGCGGGCCCTGGGGGTCACCTTGGGGGAACAGAGATTGAACGTGCACTCAAGTGGCCGCGGCCAGCGTCACTGCGCTGCACTTTAACCCCTGTGCCACAGGGAGGGCCTCGTTTCTCCTGTTCATAAGCCCTTTTCCTCTTTTTTTTACTTATTGCATAGCCAGTGATTAGAACCTAGAAAGTTAAATCTAAATTAATTTGCAATAGCACAAAGATGAGGGTACATACACCCTAGCTTTTGAGGAGAAAGGTGGCCGGGAGTTGAGTGCTGGCACCTTTCTCTGGCAACGTAGCAACAGTGAGAAATGCACAGTGTGTGGAAAATGTAAGCGTCTATGGACAGTTTCATTTAGGTTTTTAATTTTATTTCCTCTTAAAGTTCTGCTCATATTCTCGTCATTCCTTTAGTGCAAAATAGTGCTGTATACTTATGGGATAATTATTTTAAAACATTTTTATCTCAACTTCTGGGGTAATTTATTTGACTTGTCATGTCAAGTTGTGTGTCACAAAAGATAAGTGAATAACTCAATACAACACCAGGAAAATAATACATTTCTCTTTTAAAAAGATGTATTTTTGCACACAGAACTGGGGGACAGGCCAGAGGTGTGGGGGTGAGAGGACTCCCCAGAG